GGGGGGGATATGCGAAGGATGGGAAGTGGAGGGAGGGGGAGGGGAGAAGGAAGATGATAATCAAAGCATGTTGACACCGGGCCGGAAGCGGACTCGTTGGATTGGGTCAGCCCTTTGGGCTCGGCGGACGCAGCCTGGAGGCGATGACGCCAGCCCAGCTGCTCGGCGCTCCACCTCCGGCTTCGGTGATTGGCGTGTGTCAAGCCGATGCGAGAAGGGCTCGAGCGTGGAGACATCGAAGTTCAAAGGTCAATACTGAGTAGACTAGAAATTAGATTATAAGATAGATTGTCATTTCGATTGACCTTGTCTTCTGCTTTTTTCTGATCACATGGTCACAAAAAGTGGCTGAGGGGGAAGGACAACCACCGGATTGTTATCTCATGAGGAAGACATCTCCGAGTGCCCGCCAAGCCGATCCGACCCCGGGTCTCTTGGCCGGTCTCGGTCGGGCCCGTGTTCATTGGCCCGCGCTGTGCTATTTCCGGTCACCCTCCATGGTTGAAGTGCCTTGGCGAGGGCAACTTGGAGGGAAAAGTACGAGTTGCCTAAACAGGCACAGCCACAAATAGCCGCTTTCGGGGATTTCATTATTTCTCATGGATCCAACCTAGTTGTCCATTATATTCGTGACTAAATAGCTAAGTATACGGTCAAAAATTAACCTCCTCACTCCGTAACTGATTCAATCAGAGTATATATCCATCCAGCCCTGCATATCCATTCTGAAACACCGAATGCCAAAATACATCCCCCAAAAATAATTGCCAGAACCTCTCATCCGAAAAAAAAAAAAAAAGAAATACAAATTCCAGGAACAGGAACACGATCAACGCCAGCGGAATGCAGAAGGTAAAGAGTGTCAGGGTATTGAAACATCGTTCGTAACAGGGGCAGGTGAGCAACCCCCCCAAGTGCTTTTTGCAAATCAATGATCGGGACAAAACATTAAGACATCATCATGTAACAGAGGAGGTGGAACCATCGAGACCAGCTCAATGAGATCTAAGTTTAGTGTCGACGACCGCCCATGTACGACCCCGCGGCCGTGGCGAGAAAGCGGGCCACGAACCCATGACCGCCAGCGGCGACCGGGTGGGCGGGGCCGTGGGGATGAGCTGCGTGTCCAGAATAGCCGAGACACATCCTCTTGCTGGGCTGCGCGGGCGGTAGGCACTCCTCGAGTGGCAATCCGTCACCAACAAATGATGAGGGGCTGCGGCCACCGTCCACCACGCGCACGGACGCGACCTCTTCAAAGCTGGTGATCGAGCTGGAATTCCGGAGACTTGCAGGAGTGACAGCGCGTGAGCTGGAGGACAGGCTGGACGCCCGCGAGCTCAAAGAAGCCGCAGTATCGGCTCGTGACAATCCGGGCACATCCTGCACGCCCGGAGGAGAGCCCGACATCCGACCACGGGATAGAGGACGCCGGCGGCCAGTCGGGTATGGGTGATACCGGTCGGCCGCAGCATCAATTAGCGAGGGGGCGGGCGAGGCGCTCTGTGAGCTTGCAACAGACGATGCAGAAGACAGGGATGACAGAGACACCGATGAGGCCGGGCTGGCTGCCATCATCCGTCGCTCGGATTGCTGATAGGCGGAATCCACCACTTGTCGACGAGCATCCAATTTCTGACGGCGCAGGCGGGAAGTCAGCAAATCCGTGGAGGAGTGGAAGCGACGCCAATCTCGGGACTGGCGACGCTCCACTTCGCGCTGCTGCTGCTGCTGCTGGTAGCGACTGCGGATCGGGGCCAGGAATGGCTCTAGGTGCTGCAGCAGGTCGGCTTCAGTAACCCGAGTGTCCCAGTCAAGCAGGAACAGGAGCTGGCGCTCCATGAGGTTGACCTCGGGCAGAGGGAACGCGAATCCGTCGTAGCCCTTGACGGCCGTGTACCGGGCCCAGTGCTTGTTCTTGGGGCTTGAGTCGTTCAGGTTCTTGGCTGCAAGGATGAGCGAAGCGAGAAAGATGCGATGAACGGTACAACGCATGCCCTTGGCCACTGGAGGCAAGCGGGACCGCAGTCGGGCCAGATAGACCAGTGAGGTCATCAAGGTGGGCACCTGAACCTGTGATCGAGCAACCAGGGAAGCAATGAACGTCTCTACTGAGGGGAGTGGTGGTAAAGTCGCATCCATGGGAGGTGTGCTGGGAGGTGTCGGCTGTCCGTGGGCATGTTGTGCCGTCACATGCGGTTCGCAGCGGATGACCTGGGAGGCCTGCTCGGCCAAGTGCGCAACCATCCCCCGCGACACCGGCTGCATGATGAATTCATGTAGAGCTGCCCGATTGAGATCCACGGTCGTGCTCGTGGTGGTCGTCGTTGCAGCGGAAACCATGTTGGGGGTGCTGTTGGAGTAGGCTAGGTAGGGATGAGCGGTCATCGTGGAGAAGACCGTGCAGAGCAGAGGAAAGGGAGAGAAACAGGAACACTATTTTGTGTGGCAAGCAATACAGTCGACTTGGATATGGTCGAGGATATATTAGAGTAGTTGAATGAATGTACGTCAGTCCTGCCGGCAGGAGAGGAATGCGTGGTTGTCGCGTCAACTGTAGTTGGGGAGCGATCGCTATGGGGGTGCGATGGGTGACCGGGACTGAGACACGCTTTGAGACACCAAGTGGATGCCGGAAGTATTTGGAGGAAAAGTGTAAAAGAGAGAGACCGACTGAGACGATGAGATTAATTTAGGTAGTAGTGGTGAAACCCCGGTTGGAAAAAAAGAATGGAACTGTTGACGATATCGAAAAAAGAGAGCACATTGAACCAGCCAGCGAAGAGGGCTTGATATAAGGAAAAGCCCTAGGGTGGTGGTGGTGCAGGATAGAAGAGGGGGTGGGTGGGTTTAGTTGAGCAGAGGAGACAGAGTATGCGCGCAACGAAGAAAAAGGCTGGCGCTGCAAGGACGGCGACGCGCAGAGTATGCATGAGGGGGAAGTGGGATGAGTGGATGAATGACTGATTTCTTCTCCTGCAACAGAGTGTTGAATGGTCATCCATGATGGGCTGCATGGCTCACGCAGGGCCGATCGTCGGGGGTTTGGCGCGCGCGAGCCTGAAATGCGGCAATGATTGGAGCAGCCACGAGATGCAGGAATCAAGGGTTGGCAGGTCAGCGCGTCGACGCCACGATCCTGGCACGCGTAAAGATCCGACTGACTGGTGGACAGTCGAAGACTCGAGTACTTGATACCTAGGTAATGTCGGGAATGGCCTAGACAGGAGCGCCAACGAAGGGCTGTCATTCCAATGAGCTCAGGGTTATCCGTCCATTACCAGGAGCGGAAGTGTCTTGAAGTGTACGGAGTAGCTGAGATAGATAAGTTAGGTACTAGGTAAGAAAGTACGTACAGTACCTAGGTACTCGATTACTAGTTACGATCCAAATGACGCCGTCGGCTGCACTAATTAGTTAGTTGCTGCACCTGCACCTGCCCCTGCCGTACTTAAGCGCCCGCCCGATGTCTGATGCTGCTATTCTTATCGCCATGCCAGATGCACGATAGTTATAATTAGATGATGTTGAAGAATTGGAACAACTGAAGCACTGACACTCATCCAACCGCCCGACTCATAACTTAAGCTTAGTAACTAGTAGATATATTTGGACCACAATTGTGTGTATGTTTGTATGTATGATTGTATATGCATTGTATGTACAGGATATGGTTGGTTTGAGTGTAGCCACCGTTCAGTCTCATCTATCCCTATACAGCGTCTCCTGGAAACCTATAAACCTCCTACCACACGGTTTTCCGGTATCCTGCCTAGGGACTGAAACACGGCGCCTACATTCTCTCCCACCACCATCCCCACCCGTCTCCCGTCAGGCCTCCGTCCACGCACCACGGTCGGCCATCCGTAACACTCGACGTTTGATTTACTCAATGGAGATGCTGTACTCGGAGACGGTCAACTTGGCGTTGGAGCCAGTGAAAGGCTCGGTACCCGCCTCGAGGGTGGTCAGGTACAGCTCATCCGACACGCCCTCGTTGTCGACCAGGTAGGTGAAGAAGTCGTTCAGGTCACCGGAGAAGCTCTCGGTGGTCGAGTCAGCGACGAAGCTGTAGACGGTGGTGTCACCGTTGGGGCCGGAGTACAGCTTCCAGTTGACGCCGGCAATCGTCGGGGTGGCGATGGTCGATCCGGTCGACGAGATGGGGCCAGCACCGCCCAAGGCCGCGAGCCAGACCATGATCTCGTACTTGGACGAGCCGCTGGCGGTTTCGGCCAGGAATGTGTCGTAAGCGACGTCGGCAACGATGCTCGAGCCGGAGTATCTATCCATTCGGGTCAGTTGCGTCTTTCCCCCGCTCGGTACAAAGCAAGCCACTTACGACCACTTCCAGGTGGTAGGAATGCTGGAGATGCAGTTCAGCTGGGTGGGGGTGAAGGTCAGAGCGGCGTTGGCATAGCTCTTGACGCTGCTGCTACCTCCGGACCAGGACCAGCTGGTGTGCCAAGCGATGGTGTCGCCGCTGTAGGAGTCGACTCCAGTGCACTGGGAGCCGGTGCCGGCGCTCTCGCCCCAAAGGTCGTTGTACAGGGTGAAGTCACCGGCGGTGGCGGTATCCCACTGACCGCAGAAGTCGCTGCGGCGCTGGAGGCTGGCAGCGGAAGCCAGGGTGGCAAGGGAGAGAAGGGAAAGCTTCATGGCGAAAAGATGTTAAATAGTGATGAGGTAAGGAAGGACAATCGGTCGGCTGGGGTTGGTTCAATGTGCGATCAACGTCCACTGTCCACAAATGAATGATGCTGGTAGGGAAGAAATCTGACATGATGGCAGGTCGACGAGCTCACTTTAAATAAGCATCCCACATGGCACGAATCCTGGATGGGGTTTGCTGAGAAGCCTGTTCGTCTGAGCTGTGGCTTTGGCCTCAATCAAGCAGAAACAACGGGGTGGATTAGTCCCTCCAACTTGCTCCATCTTGGAAGGGGATTGAGACCTGAGCAGTCAGCATGAGCGAAGCCTTCTGGATTCTCCGTCCCCGCTGGAGCCGGTGGACCACGAGGGAGAAGACCGATAGGGTCGAACACCGGGCTATTTCTTCATTTGAAACGGTTCCACGGGATGCTCCGTGCAGAGGAGCGGACAACGTTCGACATATCCAGTCAAGAGGGGTTTAGACCAGGGGAGTCGGTGGATTCGTCACCTTTCATTTCCCTGGGCCGTTTCGAATGCGATAAGGGGAGAAGACGGATAAATTATCTGGGAATGATCTGGGAACCAATTCCGCCCTCGTCAAAACGGGGCGTAATGGAGGCGATCGGAGGCCCGACCTCGACTTGGGCTATTTTTATGGACGGAAAAACCGGAAGAGAGGGGAATAAATTAATGCTCATATCATATAGTATCCACGATGGGGATCGAGAGAATAGATGAGGAGAGAGGATTTTTGCACGTGCACGAGGTTGGATGGAAGCCTGCGATCAGCAAGCACATCGAGACAGCTCTGCAAATCATGGAGAGATCAGACATGTCGTCGCGGAGGCCATAACTGCGGCGGTTGAAACCAGGTCGGCCGCATCAAACAAGGTTCCGAGTTGACGTATTAGTTTAATTGGCAGTGGACAAGATTTTTTCCTTGACTCTTGGAGTCTTGGGAGAGAGACTAACGGTCCCCTGTCTCATGATGGCTGCGGGCTAAGCATTGATGGAGCGGCCGAGGTACAGCCGTGAAAGACGCTTCAAAGACGCCTCCATGATGCTGGGTGGGTTTGGTCTGGTCGATACGTTATATCGGGGGACAGCGCTGAATTGACCCTGGCACTGTGCACTTCGACGAAACGTATATTCCGTCGCCCATGTGTTTACGTGCAGAAGAGACGCCGTAACACAGCATAGCCACCTGACTACGTGCAGGACAAGAATCCTGGGGTTACTAGCTGCAGACTGTCAAGTCTTCTAGCGGCAGTTTGCCTCTACTCTATTGCATTCTATTGCATCCATGCTGGCTGAGCCGAGTGCTTAGCGACTGGCCAGCGGCGTGGATTCAGGGGCTCAGCGCACATGCATTAATATCCTTCAATCTCCACCACGAGTTCGGTGGGAGCAGAGAACCGAGACTAAATCGGACCCTAAATGGAGCAACTGGGTCTAGAGCTTGTATCCACTGGCATCCAGACTGCCCGTGGTTTCGACAGGAGAAATTGAGTAGGAACAAAAGAGTAGAACGGTATGCTCGCGTTGGCATCCTGGATGAATATGTTTCTTGGTGGTTGCCTTAGAGTAGAGAAACTAGTTTCATCATGGATCAGGCTGCGAGTTTCTCCTTACGGACAGGCACGGGATTACTAAGCCGAGCATCCCCAGCTTCATCTCACCACCACTAAACCCGATTAGGGATTTTACGGGTTTCGGAAAAGAAAAACAATCCATCGGCCCATTCAACACCATCCAGAGCTGCTGTTGTCACTCGAGGTTACCTTACTGAACACCTCCCTTTTCTTCTCCTTCCACTATACCCTGTCTTTCTCGCCGTCTCCACCTGGCCAGGCAATATCCTCTCTCACAGCCATGCGCGCCATCAGCATCGCCGTGGCCCTCCTGGCCCTCTTCTCCGGCCTGTACAACTACCTGAACGCCCGGCTGGAGCAATTCTACATCTTCGACCCCGACCACCTGCACGACCTCTCCCAGCGCGCCATCGCCGCCCACGGCAACGACACCCGCTCCGTTGTGAATTACATTGTGGCCGAGCTGGACGAGAAGGTCCCCGGCACCCACATCAACCACGACGAGGAATGGGTGTTCAACAATGCCGGCGGTGCCATGGGCGCCATGTACATCATCCACGCTAGTGCGTTATTTTTTTCCTTACTGAATCCCAATCTACTCTATATTTACCATTGATCCCGCTAACCTATTTATAATTCATAGGTATCACGGAGTACCTGATCATTTTCGGTAAACCTCCCACCCACTGACTTCCCCTTCCCCACTCCTATATATCAAACCAGCCAACCTCATAAACCTCATCACCACCACCACCACCACAAAACTAACTACCCTCCTCCAACAGGAACCGCCATCGGCACCGAAGGCCACACCGGCCGCCACACCGCGGACGACTACTTCAACATCCTGCAGGGCACCCAGCTGGCGTACGTGCCGGGCGCCTACGAGCCCGAGGTCTACCCGCAGGGCAGTGTGCACCACCTGCGCCGCGGCGAGGTCAAGCAGTACAAGATGGACGCCTCGTGCTTCGCGCTCGAGTACGCCCGGGGCTGGATCCCGCCCATGCTGTTCTTCGGGTACGCCGACACCTTCTCCAGCACGCTGGACTTCCCGACGCTGTGGGCCACCTCGCGCATCACGGGGCGGGAGATGATCTCCAACGCGCTGAAGGGGAAGATGTAACCGTTTCCCCTGGGAGATACAATAGAGGGAATGTAAGATGAAAGATGAAAGCAGAAAATGGTGTATACTATGGGGACACGTGTGTCCTAGATTAGACTAGACTTTCGGCGGACACTTTTTTATTTCTCGGTGGCTCGGTCTTGGACTCTGCCTATAGATGATTCTTACAGGTATACTTATTAATGCATGATCAGATCTGAATATTGTGTCTTGGAAGCAGGGCTATTGCATGGCTGCTGTGCACGCTCAGTAAACAACCAAACAAATCAAACCGAAGAAAAAGCACATGACTAATCCCCACCCACCCAGCGTTTCCTCCCCGTCTTATCGATAAGAAATTCCATCCCTCAAAGCCAACCCGCGCTCCTCCAACTTAGAAAATTGCCTCCTACTCTTACCCCTCCAATCAACTCGACCAAACCAACCCGATTCCTCCAGCAAACCCTTTCACCCTCCATCCTTCACCCTTCACGCACAACAGCCCTCTCAGCGCAAGAGAAACACCACCGAAAATGCCCCCCACGCCGTGCGCAATCTGCCACGCCGACCGGGCGGTGATCATCCGGCCGAAGAACCGACAGCGGCTGTGCCGGGGCTGCTTTTTGAGGGTATTCGAGACGGAGATCCACGAGACGATCACGGCAACGCGGCTGTTCCAGCGCGGGGAGCGGGTGGCGATCGGGGCCAGCGGCGGCAAGGACAGCACGGTGCTGGCGTCGGTGCTGAAGACGCTGAACGAGCGGTACGACTACGGGCTGCAGCTGACGCTGCTCTCGATCGACGAGGGCATCAAGGGCTACCGCGACGACAGCCTGGAGACGGTCAAGCGCAACGCGACGCAGTACGCCATGCCGCTCGTCATCCTGGGGTACGGGGAGCTGTACGGCTGGACGATGGACCAGGTGGTGGCGCAGGTCGGCAAGAAGGGCAACTGCACGTACTGCGGCGTGTTCCGGCGGCAGGCGCTGGACCGCGGCGCCGAGCGCTTGGGCATTCACCACGTGGTCACGGGCCACAATGCCGACGACGTCGCCGAGACGGTCATGATGAACCTGCTGCGCGGCGATCTGCCGCGTCTGGCGAGGGGCACCAGTATCGTGACCGGCTCCGCGGCGAGTGATATCAAGCGCAGTAAGCCGCTCAAGTATGCCTACGAGAAGGAGATCGTGCTGTATGCCCACCACATGCAGTTGGATTATTTCAGTACCGAGTGCATTTACTCGCCTGAGGCGTTTCGGGGCAGTGCCCGCACGTTGATTAAGGATCTGGAGAAGATCAGGCCGAGCTCGATTCTGGATATCGTGCGCAGTGGCGAGGAGATGGCGGAGTTGGTGCCCGCTGAGGTGAGGGGCGGGGCCGCCGCCGATGAGGAGGCGGCGGAGACGACCGGGTGCGGGAGCCAGGGCGGCGGTGGGAGCGGGCGGACTCGCGGCGGCGAGATGGCGGAGATGGAGAGGAAGTTGGCTGAGGATGAGGTCGCGGCCGAGCGTGAGACGGAGGTGACGCTGTCGTCGCTCCCGAAGAAGCAGGCCGACCGGAAAAAGGCCGCGGTCAAGTCACAGGTCCTGGGCAAGTGTGAGCGCTGCGGGTATATCTCCAGTCAGCGGGTGTGCAAGGCGTGCACCTTGCTCGAGGGGCTGAACAAGAACCGGCCGCGCACGGCTATTGAGATGGAGATGGGCTTGGAGGAGGAGGAGAGCAGCTCGACGCTGCGGCGACAGATGGAGAAGGTCGAGCTGGGAGGGTGAAGTCAATGGAGTGTGGTCAAGACGAGACGAAACCACCGAGTCATGAGGCACGAGAGACGAGACATGAAGACGAGATGCCTAAAATGATGCCTGGGTCTATGAATATAGACTGACCAACACCTGATCCACATCACAGGACAGTCACACATCCCGCCGAAGGATCCCAGCTGATGCAGCAAAGGCCTGCTACCCAGACATGCAAGATAGAGCCACAGGCAACTCAGATACCAGTACCCATACTCTACACATGATATGATAATTATCATTCCAACACAACCACCACACACACACAAACTACCCTCCAAAGAATAGTATAGAACAAGAAATAAAACAAAATTAAACCCTGCCGAAACTCCAAATCCACATGCAAAACCACATAATATACAATCCCCCCCCGGCCCCTATCCACATAACATACCCACCCAATCCCGCAACCTCACCCCTCTCCCCAACTCCCCAAGTTTCCAATAGCGCCCTCCCCCCTCCTCCTCCTTGACAAAAAGACCCCGAAATCACTCCTCAGCCCCCTTCCCCTCAACCGGC